TGATCTTCATATATAACCCAAACCACAGGTTATCCCGTTAAAAATCCTCAGATCTCACTGTTGAGACATTTGCCAGGTTTGTGTCAGATAGAAGTTGTAGGACCCTGCTATCCATAAGAATGATACTGTGAAATGGAAACTGTACCTTCAGTTGACCCGTAAAATCACTGCCCTAATCTTCTGTGATTAGGGTGTTGAAGGGGCGTAGCATGGCAGGTATGTGATGGATTCTTAGAAAAACATCAAAGTGCGTAGCTTCTCTGAGTCTCCCTCCATAAATGTAAAGGTAGAGAAAATACTGCATTTCTTTATATTCTGCAATGAATGGAATTCCCATTTGTGGGAAATTTAAGCTCATTTAGAAATTTCATGTGCTTTCCTTTCTCCACAGTTGTGCAGAGTTCCCAAGGTTACGCACTCCAGTAAGATAATGATGTGGGGCCTCTTGTCATTGGCGATTAGTCTAGTGGTGGTGATTAGAGGGATACCCACATTTCTAGGCAGATGTTTCCTTTGGGTCCACTCCAGTATGGACCCAACTCCATACTGTAATATGGGTCTAGGAATTGTAAGCAAAGTTGAGAGTCCAGGATCCATGTTAGCCAGGACCTCCTCTCCTTTTGTGTCCCACACAGCAGTTCCCCCGCTTGGGTCTGCCACCTCCCTAATGGAGAACAAGCTGCTGGTCACCAGACCTCTGTCCCCATCTCAGTCTCTAGAAATCTTCCTTCCCCACTGCAGGTCTTCTCACATTCACTTTCCGTGGGCCAGTCCAAATTTCCAGAATAAGGAATTACAAAGGAAGACACAGAATTTAGTATTTCAGTGGATTACTGTGTCATAGTAAACTGAACACCTTTTAGAAAAAGAATCCCAGGAAGCACTGTGTCTTATGTCCATTTACTTTATATAACAAAGATCCATTGTGGAGAGAAAGTCCAGGTCTAAGTGATATCTAGGATGGAGATTTTAGTAGATGTTTATCCCCAGTTGTTAAGGGCAGGGTTCAAGATACTGCCTTGAAAAATGCTGTTGACATAGGAACCCTGTTCTCATCATGAGTAAAGTTATTATCTTGGGTAGCACAAAACCACAAATGAACAAACCAAGGAAAGCACGTTTCTCTTACTGGGAAGGCCTTTGTGGCTCCCATCTAACTTTGGTTGATCCTCATTTCCAATTTCCATGAATGGACGGACAACTAAAGAATTCAAAATGGTAAACATCCTGTAGTAACACTGAACCACAGAGCTCGGTGACATGTATCCTAGAGCAGGTGGGTGGAAAGATGGGAGGAGAGCCCCACTTTACCCTTTCTGGTCTCCTCAGAAATAGCATTCTTTGGAAGAACACTTTCTCCCATTTAGAGGATTGAAAAGGCAAGGCTGGCAGATAGATACTTGACCATTATAATAGCATAAGCACCCTCTGGCTATAGACTAAATTGAAACAGACCTAGAAAGAGGGCTTTTTATTGGTATTCATGGACAATTGATTAGAAAATATCTCTCCCCCCACCTTTCTGCCTTTTTTTTTTTTTTTATTATTAACAGCATTCTGAATATTGTCAGATGTGTTTGGTATTTGGGTAAGAATTAGTATTGGTCACATTGTTTACTTGTGACAATTCTCTTGCCTTGCTTCCACTGTTATTTAAGCCTTATTTCTAATTTCACTTTGAAAAGCACATGATAGTGGAGTTAATTTTGCTTTGATCTAAGGCCTTCTCTGATGACTGAATACTATAATTTACCCAATGTAGTGACTTTGATATGTTTTTCTTGGTTAAGCTTACATAGGTATTACATGTCACAACTGGTAAGGCTGTAATAATTTTACTGTTCACTGAATGTCAAATTAAAAATGTATGTGAGATAGCTAAGGATCCTATCCCATTAATTATTCTCTTAGGATTTCTGAAATTCTGTGTTAATGAGCTGTAACATTCTGATGACCAAATGTCTGAATGTATTAAAAGGAAGAGTGAGAAAAATATGCAACCTGAAAAATATGCATGGAGGAGAATGAGATAAAAATAAATGTGATGCTATCATTTGACTTTTTGTTTTAATGAGGAAGTTGGTCACTTGGAAATGAAGATCACTCTTGTATTAATAAGTATAAATCTGTGACAGTGGCTGTGAAGTCCTGTGCATTATAAAAATCTATTCTCTTCATTGAAATTCAGTACATAGTGCCTGGCAGATGAATGAATGAATGAATGAATGAATGCATGAGCGAGCCAGTAGGTTTTTTATTCCGTTGTTCTCTTCATTCTAAAACTGGGGCAAGTTATTTGTTTTCCTGAACCACTATTTTCTCATTTCACAGAATAAAGAAAATGATTCCTACCTCTTAGTGGCTGAGGCCTGCATAGGTTGATTTACATATAATTGTTACATATTTTCTAAAGTGATTTTTGCAATATAGTGTTTTTACCTCCCCATTTGTGTTTGAATACTATTAAAATTTCCCAGTAGTCTATGGTCTTTCTGATTCAGCTGAAGGAACTTTGTAGAGTATGTTTATACTCTGTTTTGGTTACTCTTCTAGTTCATCGAAGGACAATCTGATAATTGCTTTTTCTATTTTTGGATAGGACTAGTTTATTGTGAAGTGTAGCTTTAGCAGTTTATTTTGGGGAATGTCATAAGAATCCTGAAGACATTATGGAAAGTTTGAGCTTGGTAGTCATGGTGATACGATTTTGCTGTAAGCAGCCAGGTGGTCCCATATGGCAAAGGACCACTCTAAATGAAAGCTTTATCTTTGAAACTGTAAAGAATCTTCATTTTTTGTCTCTCATTCATTTTCTCATGTGAGTCCCCGAAAGCTTTACCCGGAAACTTGTAGATGGTTATCCTAGCCTGGATTTCTCAATTATACGGAATTATGATATGTGGCTTTATTCTGAGAATGAATTACTGCAGAGGAGTTACATGATGTAAGCCTGTATCTACTGTTGGAGGAGCATTTTCTTGGATCTCATTTTATTTTTATGAACTCTGAAAACTAAGGGCAAAAAGAGGGTAGCAAAGTTCTACGGACTAGAAGTGATGAGGAGCCCGGGGTCAAGGCTGACAGATTCTTAGATAACTGTGCTTTCTGTAAATTGTCTTTAGATGAGACATTAAAGAATTAGACATTAAAAAAATTTAAACTTGAAGACACTTTTGTGCATAATCCAAATTACTTGGAAAGAGGAGCAAGTGCTTAGAGTTCTTTTATGTTTTGAAGATCCAATAGGGAGAATATTCTGCAGGTGTGCTAGCAGGAACTGCCTGTTAGTGGCATTGTTACATTTTTAGCTCCATTCTTGCCTCTGTAGGGATCCCTACGCCCTTACCTTTTAGCTCACATTAAATTTTATGCTGCATGGTACTCCCTCTGAACTTTCATCTTAACCAGAATATACCTGTGGTTACCGTGCAATTTCTTTTCTTTCATTTTTTAAAATGTGTCTGAAAAAGTTTTCATATTCTTAAATTTCACTGAAACTGTGCATCCATCTGAAGGCAGGTTTTCCATGAAACTACCAAAGCTTCAAAATCAGGGCCTCTCATTTTGTTGAGCCTTTACCTAGGCCTTCATAGGGGCCTACCTAATTGTGTATTGGTAATTTCTTTTTTTTTTTAAAGTTTATTTATTTATTTTGAGAGAGACAGAGACAGCTTGAGCAGGCTGGTGGGGGGGGCAGGGAGAGAACCCCAAGAAGGCTCTGCACTGCGAGCACAGACCCCATAAGGGACTCAAGCTCATGAAACCATGAGATCATGACCTGAGCCGAAATCAAGAGTCTGATGCACCCAACTGACTGAGCCACCCAGGCTCCCCCATAATTTTCTTCTTTTAAGAATTAAAAATTTTTAACATTAATTTATTTTTGAAAGACAGACAGACTATGAGCAGAGGAGGGGCAGAGAGAGAAGGAGACACAAAATCTGATGCAGGCTCCAGGCTCCCAGCTGTCAGCACTGAGCCCAATGTGGGGCTCGAATCCATGAACCATGAGATCATGACCTGAGTCAAAGTTGGATATTTAACCGACTGAGCCACCCAGGCACCCCTATAATTTTATTTTAAAGGAGACTCTAAAAGTGTTTAATATTTATGCCCCACAAGATCTGAATATGCCCCTCGTTCTATTGCCCAATACTACTGAAAGGTGGCTGCTAAAATTGTAACTGCAGGATTTAAGGTTTTGCCTAACTGGGCTTTCTTGTATTTTATACTATTTATTAATCTGTTTTTCATGCAAAGCTTTTTGCTTTGGTTTGTATTTTTCACCCAGTTAGTGTGTTTTGTTGAAAGTTCCTCCCCATCTGAGATACAGGCTGTTTTCTTATCATCTCTATTGGCATTATCCATTTCTAGTTCTCCCTTCTTATTCAGTTTATACTTTCCATCTAACACACACATTCTCAAGTCTTCAACCACCCCCAATTCTGTAGTTACAATACAGTAGCCACTAGTCACATATGGCTACTTAGCGATTGAAATATAACTAGTGCCATATGCTGAAAAAATATTTTGGATACACTGGTAAAATAAAATATAACTTTATTTGTTATAAATATGTTATAACTTTTAAATATGTAGCTACTAGAAAATTTGAAATTTCCTATGTGAGATGCGTTGTATTTCTATTTGAGAGCACAACAAGATGCTGATGGCTGCCGAGTCCCTGTCCCCAGTCCAGACCTCTCGCTGGAATTTCAAGTGTGAAATCCTGCTGGTATCGTTCTGGCCAATTTAAGAAGCCTCAGACTGAACCTCTCACCTTCTTAGTCAAATGCTCCAGTTTCCTTTATGTCACCTGGAGAAATGTACTATTCATTCACCCACACTGGAGACCTGATATTATACTTAATTCCACCTTCTTGCTCATGCCCATAACAAATCAGTCAGAAGTAGTCAGTCAGGTCTTATAATTACATTTCAAGTGTATCATTTTAATCCTCACTGTATCTAGCCTCATTTGAGCACTCATAAATTTTTACCTGAAGTATTGTAACTACCTTCCAAGTGATTTTCCCATTTGGTACTTCTCACGTATATTCTCTGGTGACTGATGGTTTGAATAGGAGAGGCAATAGAGGCCAACTGTTGAAAAAACCAAAAACCATGAGGCTTATCAGGGATTGCTGTAAGTGTGTGAGTGGAGAAGTGCATGCTTCTAATATAAGGCAGGTGCTTTATATGTGTGGAGTGGATTGCTGCATCTAGCCATTAATTGCTAGCCTCAAATTGCCAATCCAGTCACAAGATATGCAGGTTTCTCCAAATTCATGACCCAGTAAAGTGAGTATGATTGCATTTTTCTCCCCTTATAACAAAACTTAGGAACATTTTCCCCAAGACTTTGCTCTTCACTTTAGCCTGCTCACTGGCAGCTGCTCACGTATACCACAACCATTATTTTAATACCTTTCTGTTGCTCCTCTTGTACGATGTCTGGTTTGGTGACTATTTAAATTTTAATTGCCTAGAATATTGAAAGTGAATTGCTTAAACAACATGGTGTGTGTTGGAAATTAATAAATTTATGATAATGATGTCATATTAACATTAAGGCAACCACTCAGAAAAGTGAACATTAGTTTTCAAATAGTAGTAGGTACTTGGTGAGAAAACTTGAGTAACAAATTAATCAAGTATCTTCTTTTTTTCAAAATGTTTATTTAGAGTGAGAGAGTGTGCATGCATGCATGAGTTGGGGGAGAGAGCGAGGGAGAGAGAATCCCAAGCAGGCTTCTCAGCATCATCTCAGAACCCAACACAGGGCTCTTCCCTATGAACTGCGATATCATGACTTGAGCTGAAATCAAGAGTCAGAGGCTCAACTGACTGAGCCACCCAGGTGCCCCTTAACCAAGTATCCTCTAATTGTTAAGTGTTACATTAAAGTTCTCCTCTTTTTTGGCAAAGCATGAATTCATCAATACCTTCACTGACTTTTCTCCTTCTGGATCTTCACATTTTGCTGAGTAAAATTGTTACTTAGCATGTAGTGATTCAGAGTTCTTTGAGATAGAAATACTAGTGATACTACTCTGTCTTTACCTGACTTGGTGGAGGATTGCTTTATTCATAGAATATGCTCAGCCTAGTAAAACATAAAAGGAACTTTTATCTTTCGATATAGAAATAAATGATCTTGGCTATAAATCATGAATACAGTGGTACATGGTTGTAATCATGCTTTGTCTTTCAAAGGTATAAAGGATCTGTGTTCTCTAATGATGACCCTCTCCTCTGGTGTGATCCATTTCAATTTAAAATTTGTATCAAATATGCATTCAATTATTTAGATTTCAATACAACTTAATAAGTATTCTTATTAACGTTCTCTCTTGCAAACCCTTCAATTTTACTTCTGTGCTAAACCAGGCTTGTCGGGATGATTACATTAATAATACATCTCTATCCAAAACTGAAGTGCCGAGCAGAGAACATGCTAATGGGTTTCATTGATTTCAACTTGGAAATGGGTGCAGGCAATCAGAAAGCAGGTGCAAACCTCACTAGCAGTGAACTACTGGGAGAATATTGAGCCAGGATCAGTGGCAAGATTCATAGCTGTGATTTGAGTTGGAAAAATGTTAAACATAATGAAGTTAAAGCGATTAAAGCCTTCTGGGAGAAATGCGAATGCTTCATTATGCTTCTCAGATGGCAGCTTTGAGTGATGAGTTCTAAATTCTGTCTTAGTAATTTTATTAGTTTTCTTGTATTTTTTCCTTGGAGTTAGCTGCATATAGATTCACTCTTAGTTTTCTAAAAACTTGCAAGATGAGGTTAAGGACAGAGCTCCAAACTTTCAAACAGTCATACTACCCATGCACTGTTCTTTAAAATAATTTGGATTTAATTTCACTGTTTGTAAAACTGCTGTTTCATTAAGGCTAATTCTGTACTTGAGTGTATACTCCTTTGTATTTATTCCTTTATTTCTGGCCCTAAAAATTTGAAAGAATGGATGATACTATACATAAAAAGTGATTTTAGAGTAAGTTGAAGGGAAGGGCTTCTTAAAATGTAAGGCAGAAACAGTAGTAATATTCCTAGTTTCTCTTTTGTTTTCTTCAATCCTAATTTCTCTTCTTTTTGAGGCGTGCCCCTTCGGCTTCATATGCACACTTTCAGATATTGTACTTTTCTCTGGTTTTGCAGGGGTAATGATTCAAGTGATTATCATCAGAAACTGTCAATAACACATAGAAATGGACTCATTTACCGGAAATTTAGTAGGTTCATTTGGTTTATTCAGACAGCTTCTGAGAGGTGAGGAGAGGAATAGGTTAATAAGGACCAGGCCTCTGTTTCTCTACTTGAAAATAGTACATAGGATTTAGGAACTGCTCTATGGACATGGTCTTTATAATTTGGAGCACATGCAGAGAATCTGCACTACCCGGGTATTAATCTCTGCTCTAGCTACTTGCTGGCTCAGTGACTTTGTGTCTTCCTTAAGAAATGGGGCTAATATTGATACCTATTTATAGTTGTGAGAAGGAAGTGAGTCAATTCACTTAAATCTGTTGGAGCAATGCCTGGCACGTGGTAGGCACCTGTGAATGTGACCATGTGTGGTAGTAGCTGCTGGTGCTGTTACTGTTCTAATAATATAGCAATAATAATATCATATAATAATATAATAATTGTTATTACTATAAAATCCTCATACCTTCTTTCCCAAAAGTGGCCTTTTAGCAGGTGCTGTTCCATCCTGACACAGTCCCCACTGTGAATAAGTCCCCACTTATTCATTCTAGCTAAGTCTCTTTCTTTTGCACACCTGCTAAAATACAATACTACATCTACATTTCTTTTTATTCCTGAGAAATTTAAATTTGACATTTTGACACTATCTACTAAATCCTTATGAGTGGATATTGATAATGCCAGGTAATGCATTGTGTTCGCTTTATTGAATGAGAAGACTGTCTGGTGTGACCAAGGACCAAATCTACCTCAAAGCTTGATTCTTACACTGGGAATGTTGGAAATATATAAAAAAATAATTTGGGCAAGTACCTGGGTGACTCAGTCGGTGGAGCGTCCGACTTCGGCTCAGGTCATGATCTCTCGGTTCTGTGAGTTCAAGCCCCACACTGGGCTCGCTGCTGTCAGCTGAGCTGAGCCCTCTTTGGATCCTGTGTTCCTCTCTCTGCTCTTTGCCTGCTCATGCACACTCTCATTCTCTCAAAAATAAGCAAACATTAAAAAAAAGAATAATTTGTTCACAGACAGAATTATCACTGCTGACGCCGCCTTCCTGCCTGAACCTTCTCAGCTATTATTTTACTGGTATAATTTTAACTTTTGATGGTCTTTTATGTTTTGAAAGAATAGGAGATCTTTTTGGTTGTTAATGCCACATACCGTTTGTGTGGTTTTAATCAGGTACCTTAATCTCTCTCTGACTGTTTTCTAATCTATAAAATAAGGAGAAAAATAGTATCTCCTTCATAGGATTGTAGCTGGGTTTTACCGATTCAGTGAATATTATGTCCATAATACATTGTTATCCTAATAAATTGTCACTAGTTACTATCCCAGAAAGAAACATCCCTCATAATTAGATTCTTGCCAAGATTCTGCCAAATCCTTCAGGCTACAGGTCTACTCCTCACTGTAGCACTTGGTGAAGGGGCATTAGAGCCACACATGCAAAATCAATGTAGGCTCACCCCAGACTGGAGTGGGTGCACAGTGTGTTTGGTGGACCACACCTTCTTCTTTTCTGTCACCTATTCATGGCTGAGAATGGTCCTGAGCCCTTCTGATTTTTTCACACTTGATTATGAATATTAATTTGTTAATGTGTCCAATTGTAAGCATATCTTCTTGAGCCAGAGTTCAATCTTGACTTTCTTCAGAAAGGGGTACTAATATCTTAATACGTAATAACTAAAGCAAAAAAAATTGTGAAGAGTAATAGCAGATGAAGAGGTAAAAGGCAAGCAAGATACATGGTTGCCAGCATCTTTATCTGTTCCCTACAAAAAGAGTAGCAAAGCAGATTCTCCTAGATCCATATTCTTGATTAATGACCAGTTAAAGCCTAAAGCCATTCTGGTAAAACCTTTCATGTGGTTTTCCTCCTTCTGATAACTAAAATGAAAAAAAAAAAAAATAGGCCTACTTCTCTGTGTAAAACTTTCACTATAGCAAGGACAAACCCAGAAGTTCAGCCATTAGGTCATCATACTCCAATTATTCCCTTGTGAATTTTGTCTTCTATATTGGACAGTTAGTTCTTAGTGTCATTGTTAGGCATCTTACGAAACTCTGTATCATTGTCCCTCAATTTACTTGATCATAATATTCATCAGAGAGTTTGTGAGGTGTAAATGAAAGGTGAAATTATCTATAGTTAAGCTACCAACACACATGCTATGGTTTTCAATTATATAATAATTTCTCTAACTATTCATTTTAATTTGTAAAGTCAAGGGACACAAGAACACATTTTCCTTGAATGAATAAGCGCTAGGGATCATTTGAGGCCACTGCATTAAACAGGATAGTCCATCTTTCTACCAGTGCAGAGAATCCAAGAGGCTTTGGGAAATAATGGTTTCATTTTGTTATGGCTATCTGAAGAAAACAAAAAGGTTGCAGAGTTGCCACATATTTCTTTTTTTTTTAATGGTTTTTTTTTTTTTTTTTCTTATTTTATTTCTAGGAGAGAGAGAGACAGCGTGAGCAGGGGAGGGTCAGAGAGAGAGGGAGACACAGACTGAAACAGGCTCCAGACTCTGAGCTGGCAGTCAGCACAGAGCCCAACGCGGGGCTCGAACCCAAGAACCGCGAGATCATGACCAAAGCGAAAGTCGGACGCTTAACCGACTAAGCCACCCAGGCGCCCCATCCACATATTTCTTTAGCTACCTTTGAGAAAGAAATTCAACTTGGTCAGTTATGGATACATATACTCTTTTATTAGGTATTTGTAGACATATTCTTAATTTTGTAATACTACAGTACATTAAATGAAATTGTGGAGAATACCTTAGTAAGTAATACCACTGTTAGAAAAAAGATTTACTACATGATCATATACATACTCATTTCTGATTTTTCTCTTGCTGTCATGAGTGTGTGTACGTGCATGTGCACACATAGGTATGTATTTGTGCTAACTTGAGCACTTTGTCTTGGATTCCCCTCAACCACATTTCAGTTGAGGGACAATCTGTTTCTTATTGATACTTGACTATATATTTCTATTTTTGTGACCTCACTGGTGTTTGTAGTGTATCTAGAAAGCATCATATGCTAAATTTGTTTTCCTTCCAAATCATTAAATTAAAAACATGAAACAATAGACCCAAAGCTGATTTGCCCAGTGAGCTGATCACTGCTACAGGAAACAGATATTATCAAATTGACTTGATGAATTTCCCACCCTCCCAGCCTCTTCTCCCTTTTCTCATCCATTGATCTTCATTTAAGAGTATTTTTTGGGAAATTTTTACATTTCACTGTCTAGGGGCCAGTGAGAATCTATCACACAATTAATTCATAATTTTAATAAACACTATTAAAAGAAAAATCCAGGCCAAAAGTTCTTTACTTTGGCATTTATTTATCATTCATTCAACAAAGAATTACTGAATACCTAAGTTTCATATAGGAATAACATAGATAAAATCATGTTTCTGGAATGTGACTACTCGAAATTCTTTTCAGTGTCCATTCTAGATTTGTGTACAACACAGTAAACATACTTTCAGATATGTCCTATATATGAAAAAATACAGAAATTAGAATATAGACACAAAAACATAGAATACAGAAAAAAATATAATTCATGTGTATAGTAACAAGTATACTACTGTACTTTTACACTTTCTTGTCCAACAATTTTCTAATATATATATATGATATTGCTCTACACATTTCACATAGGCTTCTTATTATGTACTTTTATTTATTTTGCAATGTCTAGAGTTGTTGTTGTTGTCATTGCCTTCATTTCAATTGCTTTAGTGTTTGTGTCTTGACAACTACTGATCATTCCTGAGTACACAGATACAGATTCTATGCAGACTCTTGCTTCCAAATATACTTCCAAATGAATATAGTGCAAACAGGAGGTGATGTGTGAAATGCTGCAGCAGTATTGATTGCCCTGCCACACGAACAGGAATAAACCAAATTACTGCTATTATGCAGGCCTTTTATAATTATGGCAAAGGCCAAGCTTAAGCTGGAAAGTGAATTGCTTTCAGAATACTGTATGATATATGGATTTTTCAGAAAGGATGGAGATTGAAGACTTGGAGAGATTGTGATCTTTGCCCTGTTACATGGAACACATTTGTTGGACCCAGATTAAAAATCAGTTATAACAGGCAGACACCCCTTCTTATTAAATGCTGTCCTTTGAATTGTAAATAAGGTGGTTGAAACATCATTACCAAATAAAAATCACAAAGTTGGTGATCAATACACATGATTGACAAAAGTTTGTGAATTGACATAAGTTGACCAATTTTAAGCTAAACCAAACAAAATGCTGGGAAAATATTCTATCCGCTCAGATTGATAGCAGTTTGAACTCTGGCTTGTCTCTTTCTCAATATCAAGTAAAAAATTTCAAGTTTCCTGCTTTGAAGTTTCCTCAGAATTCTTTTAATTTCTCAGGAATCTAAATTCTACCTGCATAAACATTGCATTTTCTTGCAAGCAATAAAAAATTGTGCATTTGGGGCGCCTGGGTGGCTTAGTCGGTTAAGCGTCCGACTTTCGCTTAGGTCATGATCTCGCGGTTCGTGGGTTCGAGCCCCGCGTCGGGCTCTGTGCTGACTGCCAGCTCAGAGCCTGGAGCCTGTTTCAGTCTGTGACTCCCTCTCTCTCTGACCCTCCCCTGCTCACGCTGTCTCTCTCTCCTAGAAATAAATAAAACATTTAAAAAAAAATTGTGCATTTGTATGTGGTTATATGATACCTAAGATGATATTCAAGTCATTACTTCTAATCACCAAAATGTTAAAGTCTAATATTTTTCTTTTGTTTTTCTGTAAATGAATACTTTCCCTGTTTCTCCCCCTACATTTTAGTCAAATGTGTTGGAACAGTATAGAGATAAGCTTGTTGACTCTGGTTAGCAATGACATTTGGGATGGAGAACTTGATAGGCAAAAATTTATACTATGTTTTTAAAGGAAATCTTTATGGTCTGTGGTTATGGCCCATCCCACTAATGTCACCATTTGATTGCATTCTTCCTTTAAATTTGGTCTTATGTTTTATATTTAAATGTCTTATACATGATGGTAAAGTTCTTCAGAGCAGGGATCATAGAATATCTGAAAAATTATCAGCTTGTCTGAGGCCAGTGCTCAGTAATATAAGTTGTGTCTTGCAGAGAGAAAATAAGAAAGATTATGGGAGAACAAATAACAAGTCCATTACTGTTTTAAAAGGCCCAGAATGAAGGGGCCTTCAAGTAGGAATATTCCAGTCTCTAGTGCTGGATAGTAGTGGCAGGGGGAGTGATGGAAGAAAAGGTGACATAGATCAGGAAAACAGAAGAGGCAGCATTACTGGTAGAAATGGAGGAAGGCAGAGACAAGGCAGTAACCGTAGTTTTTCGCATCCATAGATCAGGAATGCACTCTGAGTCAGGTCTGTATTGCCTGTAAGTGAAAGATTGACAATCCAATACTATTGTAGGATTAGTTATATAATGAATAGCTATTGATTTGCGTTATCTAGACCAGCACTGTCCAGAAGAAGTATAATAGAAGTTATATATCTAATTTAAAGTCTTCTAGTAGCTATGTTTTAAAAGCAAAAAAAAAAAAAAAAAAAAAAAAAAAAAAAAAAAAAAAAAAAAAAAAAAAAAAAAAAAAAAAAAAAAAAAAAAAAAAAAAAAATTTAAAAAAAAAAAAAAAAAAAAAAAAAAAAAAAAAATACAGAGGAAACAATTTTAGTCATATAATTTACTTTATCCAGTATTTCCAAAATATCATTTCATCATCCGATTAGAAAATTAGTGAACTACTTTATATATTTTTTGTACTAAGTTTCAGAAATCTGTTCAATTAACAATGTACATCTCCTTTTAGATTAGTTGTATTCCTAGTGCTCAGTATCTCTACATGGCTAGTAGTGACTCTTGGTCAGTGAAGGTGTCTGTGTGTGTGTGTGGGGGGGGGGAGGCTTGAAATAAAATGTGTTCTTTCTTATATTCTAAAAATGGAAGTGTCCACAGTTTCTGGGCATTTCTCACATTTGTATGTTACCACTTAAAATCTAAGAAGGGTTCTTTCATATATAGGGTGAAAGGCTGTTTAGAAATTTCAACAGAATAGTCCCAGTGTTATTGAGGTCACACTGTGTCCTTGGGGTCGTACTCTGGCCATGAATAATTAGGAGCTCTGGGGAATCCCTGAAGTTGTGGGTGAAATTCTTCATGTGGATGTATGATATGTACATGTGAGGGTTCCCATCTGCTTCTCCTGGAGGAGGGGGTCTGTACCTTTTATCCACCTCTCAAAGGGATGGTTATACTCCCACCACCCCACCGAAAAGAGTTAAGAGCTTTTGTCAGTGTTTATTTCCTTCAGGTAAAGAGACCAAATAGTAAATTAAAGTTGGTGAAATGAAAATCAGGACTGTGGTTGATCCTGGCTAGAAATCCGGCCGCGATGACTCGTATGGACAGTATAACAAATACATAATTAGGAGTCTGTGGGTCTGATGCACAGAATGAATGAATTAAATTATGAGATTCTACAATATTGTATTCATCATTAAAATTTGACAAGTAATTGTTTAATCCTTTACAGTTTTTAATGAGGTATTTACATAACTTGTAAATGACACATTAATTAACATAACTTATCTGAGGGCTCCACAGTTTTGTTCTTTAATGACACATTTCTGGCAAGCCTACCTATTCATAGAGTGTGATGAAAATAACTTCAGTTCATCCAGGATGCTTCGTTTCTGATTTAGCGTATGCTATCTGCTTTCAATCTAACTTTCCTGTGGAAGAAAAAAAACATTTAATTCTCTAGTTCTGTGATCTGTGTTCTAAAATCTGTCATTTTGTTTTCAGGGGAATATTTTGTTGATTTAAAGAAACCAGAATTATAGTCCCACCTTGATGGAATTTGAGGTGATGAGAGGTCTGTATTCCATTTGTGTGCAAGAGGTGTCAGATGGTAAAGTCGTTATCCTCTTATTTCTCTTTTCCTTTTCTAACTAATGCCCCATTTGTAAATGCATTTGAATTTGCAGAGACTGGAAAACGTTTTTAGTAATCTGTAATTATTAATTGATTACCTTTATATTATACACGCTCCCTGGTGACTTGGCTGGAGACAACTGTAATAAATCCCAGCATTAACATAAATTAATCACGAAAGAAAATATGAGATATGTGCAGAGCTGAAAATGAGATTAGAGGTAACATTGTTTTTTCTAGAAAATACAAAACAAGAACAAAGGTTTTATCTCCCATGCAAGGAGACACAAGAAGCAAAGCCCAAAGATTGGGTAATGTGAGTGTGAAGAATGGAAAGAGAGAAGGGTCCAGGTTGTATGGACAGACTGCCAAGGAAATGGAGGACAGTGAAAAGCCAGTTGGCAGATCAAAAGGTGAGAAGTGTAATCTAATACAAAGCCATTTGGAAAGGATTAGAATGTAGTAGAGATCATTGTAGTAGAGAAGAAAGGAGAAAGTTACACAGGATAAAAAAGGGAAAATTCAAGAATGGAGCTAAGCACCATAACCTGGTAAAGCTAGCTGTCCTGAAGCAGAGCTCTGTCAAGAAGTTTTGATGGGCTCTTTTCATGTGGCATCTGTCTCTAAACCTCCAAGGGATAGAGGCTAAAGTCATGGTCATAATTACAAGAGACATATTTGGAGCAGTAATTGTATCTTAGTCTCTTTGGGCTGCTATAACAGACTATCATAGGATGGATGCTTTATTTTTTTTTTTATTTTTTTATTTATTTCTAGGAGAGAGAGAGACAGCGTGAGCAGGGGAGGGTCAGAGAGAGGGAGACACAGACTCTGAAACAGGCTCCAGGCTCTGAGCTGGCAGTCAGCACAGAGCCCGACGCGGGGCTCGAACCCACGAACCGCGAGATCATGACCTAAGTGAAAGTCGGACGCTTAACCGACTAAGCCACCCAGGCGCCCCAGGATGGATGCTTTATAATAAACAAATGTATTGCTCACAGTCCTGAAGGCTGAGAAGTACAAGATCAAAGTTCAAGCAAATACCATGTCTGTTGAGGGTCCACTTCCTGGTTCAGATGGCTGTGTTCCCATTGTGTCTTCACATGGTGGAAGGTATGGGAGTGTAATCTGGGGTCTCTCATATAAGGGCACTGATCCCATGCACGTGGACTCTGCCCTTTTCATTTAATCACTTCCAAAAGGCCCTACATCCTAATGTGACATTGGAGATTAGGTTTTACCAGATTAGATTTCACCATAGGAATTGGGGGGAGGCACTGTTAGCTTATAGCAATTTGCCCTTTTTCCCTCTTGTGATTCTACTGAAGGGGTTCAGTTTGGAAATCACATTGAATACATGGACGCACACTCAGATGCACAAGCACTGAAATCTTCTGGGGTTGAATGGATTTGAGGTGCACATCACCTTGGCAGTGCTGTCATGCCTGAATCTGATGGGTTTCAAAGGAGTCTAGAAGCCAGTGTGTTGGGGCCTTTCCTGTAACTCAGGCAGATTGGTTTATGGAATGTGGGCTATAGGTAGGAATTTAGCTTTAAGGTGGTCAGAATCATTAACAAGAAGATGGGGTTGGTTGATAGTTAAAACATCATTAATACCATCACTGTCTTTCTCCTGCTGACCATTCCTTGTGTGTGTGTGTGTGTGTGTGTGTATAGAATAAATAATGGCTCAGAAAGGGGAACGGATAGCTACATTTAAACTAAACCAACACTTAGATATATGGACAGTGTGCTTGAGAGTTGATTTATGAGAAGGCATTTAACAGGTCAGATGCTCATATTTTTATAGCAAATATTGATGTATTATATGAATTACAGCCAGAAAAGTCTGAATCCAGACAGTTCCTGCAAAGACAGTCAGAAATTGATGCTTTGTGCTCCAGAGTAGGCAGAAAGGAAGGCTTCTGTCAAAAGCTTGATAGTATTGTGCTTGCCTTTTCCTTACGTCACAAAGCCTGATTTGCTTCATTTTGATAAAAGAATTCATCCGGGATCTCAATAAATCGTTCTGAAGCTCTGCTTTGAAAGTTCTCAACAAAACTTTGGTTAACTTCCTCCCCCTGCTACAAACGTGAGAATCTTCTCTAGCCAGTAGTGCTTCTGAGACCACTGCAGTAAGATTCTAAGAGACAAGATAGGTAGATACAGCTCCTTTTTAGCATTAATCGACCTGCCTTCTTATATCCAGAACTTCCTAGAGACGTTCAAAGCTGCTAAGTTTTATACTAGTACATCATTACATTTTGAGTTCTTTTTTTTTCTTTCCTTTGTTTGCTTCTTTTTACTTGGAAAATGGAATCTTAGTAGAATATAAAGTAATCTTTTTTTTTTTTTTAAAGTTTTATTTATTTCTGAGAGAGAGAGAGAGGCAGCATGAACAGGGGAGGTTCAGAGAGAGAGGGAGACACGGAATCCGAAGCAGGTTTCAGGCTCTGAGCCGGCTGTTAGCACAGAGCCCGATGTGGGGCTCGAACCCACAAACCGTGAGATCATGACCTGAGCCGAACTCGGACACTTAGCCGACTGAGCCACCCAAGCGCCCCTAAAGTAATCTTAGGTTTACTTTATATAAGTAAATAAGATTACTTTATATAAATAAATCTTACTTATATAAATAAATAAGATTAATGGAAGCTGGTAATCAATGTGTCTTATTCTGTGTAATAAAGTTTACCAATAGAAAAAATTTCTCTCCAGTAACCTTGTCAAAATAAAATATTTATTAATCCTCCTCATATACATGGTTGTATTCTATGGGAAATGGTTTTCTCCTCAATATTTCAATAGATTACATATTTTCTTCTCTGCATGTGGTATATTTTAAGAGAATATTGGCTTTGTTATTTTAAAATATTGTGTGTCTAGAAACAGTATAATGTTTCAACTTCAGCCAAAATATTTGCATTTGAGAAATAGGCCATTTGTTTTATTTCTTGTCTCCTATTTCTTCCTGTGTTCAGTTACTTACAAGCTCAGTCAAAAAATATTAATGGTGCTAACGTCTTGGATGTAGTATCTCAAACCAGTTGGATTTGTGTGCATTTTGGAGTGCTTCAGACATAATGTTTTTGGATGTCCAAATGTAGATAAAGGGCTGAAAAAAAATTTAAGGATACCATTTTCCTTCTAATTGAGACAGAAAACTGCGTGACCACTTATCCAATCTTCCTTTCACTGAATAAGGGAAAAACTTATTGATTGTACTCAAGATCTGATCAATTGTTCATCAGAAAAATGTAAAATCACCTTTTCCTTTGTGTTTCCAGTGTTTTATGTGGTGCAGTGTATTAACATTTGTCCCTGCTGATTTAAATTTAGAGACACTTGCCCAAAACATTTTCTAGGAGTTAAAGTAAAATATATGGAGTGTATTATATTTTTTAAGGTAACTAATGATTTGAAAGTAACTTTTTCCTGTGTTCCCAACTCTTCATTTACATTTATACAGCTTGTACATGTATACAACATATATCTTGTACATACATACAACTATGTTTCTTGACCCTGCAAAGTTGAAAGATACAACCGAATGCTACTAATTTAGGTAGTATGTGAATGATGAATAGAAATTTAAAACTTAGGTCCAGCAAGGTTGTGGATTGTCAGACAGAATGGTTTCAAGAGAATTCAGGTTTAAACTGAACCTAAGTTAAATAAAGTTGGAATGGCATCTAAAGGAGTGTTTCTTCTGCATCCAATTGCTCATATACTTGCATCCATATTTCCTGTGTATTCTACTCAAAACCATTCAACTCTGTGCAGTGGGATGCTTCCACATCCCCATGGCTGTGCTTACTAGTGAAACTCCACTGGACTATATATATATATATATACATATATATATATATATATATACACATACACACACACACATACATATATATACATTTATATATGTATATATAAGCATATATATGTATGTATATTTATATATGCATATATATACACATAGAACACCTGACAGCAAGACATCCAGCAAAGTAGCTTTTATGGAGCCATAGAGAATTCAGAAGAAAAGTATAATCAGAAATTAAAGCAGCCTGCTCACTAGGCATGGATATAAATTCTAGGAGAGTCACTTTTTTGTGCCTCATCTGATATACCCAAAGGAAATGAAATGAGTACCTTGAAGAGATACCTGCACTCCCACATTGATTGTTTCATTAATCACAATAGCCAATGTATGAAAGCAACCTAATGAATGGATAAAGAAATTGTGATACATCTATTGTGTCTGTGTGCCTATGATGTTTACGTATGTCTGTGTACATATAAATATATAGATACGGTTATATATATATGTATATAAATCTAGAATGTTATTAGATATAGATATATAAATATCTATGTAGGTATGTATGCAAATAAAGGTATTATGGAATATTATTTAGTCTTAAGAAAGAAATCCTGCCCCCATTCCACCAGTTGCCTTTTGTTTTGGTGATTGTTTCCTTAGCTGTGCAGAAGCTTTTTATCTTGATGAGGTCCCAGTAGTTAACTTTTGTTTTTATTTCCCTTGCCCTGGAGCCATGTCAAGTAAGAGGTCGCTGTAGCGAAGGTCAAAGAGGTTGCTGCCTGTTTTGTCCAGTAGGATTTTGATGGTTTCCTGTCTCACATTTATGTCCTTCATCCATTTTGAATCCATTTTGAATTTATTTTTATGTATGGTGTAAAAAAGTGGTCCAATTTCATTTTTCTGCATGTCACTGTCCAGTTCTCCCAGCACCATTCGCTAAAGAGACTGACTTTTTTTCCCATTGGATACTTTTTCTTGCTT